ATCAATTTTGTGATTAAGTTTGATGAGAAGATAGAAATCTACATAGTTGAAGTTGAATCGGATGGAATAGACAAATCATCTTATATTGAAAGAAAAAATATTGAGTTTTGGAGAACAAATGAAGAGTGGAGCAAAGCCAAAAATAGAAAGATGTGCAAGGTATCTAAAGCCTTCTTTAGATTCCCATGATGTAAATTTCCAAAGTCGCCCTAAAAACTATAAAGCAAAAAAAAAAAAAAAAAAAAAAAAAAAAAAAAAAAAAGAAGAAGAAGAAGAACCTATTATTAGGAAGCAACCAAATCTTCTTACACTTAATCTTTTTATGTTTTCATTTTTGTCATTAAATATAATTTTTGTAGTTATATAATTTTTTTGAGGTCCTAGGTTGATCTTGGTTCTCAACAAGCTTGATGTTCATTTTGACTCTGTTGGTTACACTTAGCAACTTTTGATTTTAAACCATTTAATTTACTTCTTTCTTGTGATTTTGAAGGACACCACAACTCATTCCATGAGATGCTTGTTGAAGGATATGATTTGAAATCAAGTTGAGGATTGATCACAAGTTTGTGGGTGAATTATATCTGAACTATTAAAGAGCATCACAAGTCCAAGCCGAGCATGGCACCTCCTCACCAAATGTTCAATCGGGAAAGCTTCGTTAACCTCTCTTCTCTTTTTATCTTGTTCTTTTGCACATTGAGGGTTTTGTGTGATTTAAAATTTGTGGATGATTGTGCTTATTTATTTTGAGCTTATTCTATGTGCATGTTAGATAGCCTTGTCGACTAAGGATGTTTTAATGTTTAAAATTGTTATTGATTCATGAGATATGACCAAGTATGCTATTTGTGCCTAGAAAAAAAAATTGCTTAACCATATGAGATCATAAGTTACTTTGAGCACAATAGTCAATATCATGATTATGTGGAAATTATTAATTGAGGAGAGAATTTTGAATTGGTAGAACTAGGTCGTGAATTTTAAATTTTATGAAGAATTCTTTTTTATCAATCTACTTTTTTAATAATTATAAGATAGGTAATGACCATGTACTAGAGATCTAACCTTCATGTATTTTTGTTGTGCTTGAAAAAGGACATTGCACTTGTTAAATCTTATGCCTCACTCTATAGCCTTTTTACTTGAGTTATTAAATCAATAGGGTATCTCGAAATCTAGTACCCTTTGGTCTAAAAAATCGATGAATTATCAATCTAAAGATCATTACAATGGTCAAGAAGAAAGCTTAAATGAGCTTTAATTGAAAAAAGAAATCAATATTGTGCAATTGTACTTCATTTTTGGGCTTAGATAACTAGTGGTCTAAATTACTCAGTATAAGCTTAAATGTCGAATCACTCAATTAGTGGAATATTAACACTTGATTAGATGTTGGGATTGCCGATCAGACCCAATCGAATTAAGTGAGAAAAAGAAAAGAGCGATTTGAGAACAACCTTTAGATTTACACCTTGAGAAGAAATAAACATCTATTTGGGGGTTACAAATATCACTAGTGGGAAAGAAAATATATGACCACAAAGTGTCGGGTTGGCACCAATTTGAAAATTCTTTTCCTTCTTTACAGCTTTTTAATAATTTATATAATGATTGAGAGTGACTATGCATACGCACACTAATCAAATATTGGATAAGCTTGAATTATTTTTGGTAGCATAATTTGGAAACATATTTGTGAATTGATTACACAATTTTACACTCATGGAGTTATTGTGGTAAGCTTTCAAATATTGTTGATCATTAACAAGTGTTGCTTGATTATGCCAGTAAATAATCTTGTTTGGGGCGAGGAAGAACTTAAGTTTCGAGGCGTTTCATAAGTGTATTTTTACACACTTATTTGATACTTAAAATAAGCTTATTATTGATTAAAGGAGTGGTTGCTTCTCACAATTGTGTAAGTGTGGCTTTTATAGGCTAAAACTCCAAAGTGAAGAAGATGAATGTAAAAGGAAAGGAAAAATGACTAAAAACGTACAAAAATGTGAACTCGGGGACCAAATTGTACTAGCTCAAAGTTTCTACCCATTTTTGCAATTCCAGTTCCATTTTGGGTACTTTTTGGGCTTGCTTTTAGGTCAAATATATACCAAAATTGGCCACTTAGCCCCTTATTCTTCATCCCTCACTTAATTCTTCTTCACTTTCATTTCATTTTTGAGAGAAACGACCTAAGAACAAGGGCGAAAGTGAGGAGAAAAACTTGAAGTGGAGAAATTTTGAGAAATGAAAGATCAATCCATATCATTGTTTAAAGAATCTAACCAAAAAAAGGTTTCATCTTTAATTTTGTAATTCATTCATTATTTTCTCTTATTTGTAATATATTGCTCTGAATCTTCTCCTTCTTTTTTTATTAATTATAAAAAAAATGAGCTAGTTCTTGATGTTGTGAAATAATGGAAGTCAAACGAGAGCTGAATACGTAGCTTATGTGTATGCGTACACACCATTACATAAAAATTTCATTGTACAACAATCATTGATCTTGATTTTGATATAGTGAATCCTCCTCTTCCGTCTGTGATTTTTTCCATCTTGAATTTTCATGTAAAATCTTGACGTTCTTGTTTGTGATTGATTTATTTCATTTTGCAATTATCTTGTTTCATTCATAAAAAAATATGAGTCAAAATCAACAATTAATTTTAATCACACATTTTATGAAACCTACTACTTTTATTAACTCTTACACCACACATTTTTATACATATATAAACTTAATTTAGTTCTTGTTTGATTTTGCTAATAATTAGGTTTTTTAGTAGAATTGTTACGATACTGAGATCAAGAGTCACGTATGAAAATTATATGTTTTTACCTTAAAATTAAGAAAAAGAAAACATGTTTGGCTCAGTATTTAGCTCAGTTCAAGGGGCATGTGTACCTAAGTTTAAAAAATTTTAAAGTTACTTTTGAGTGAGGTTAGGTGTTCAAATTTATACGGATAACTCAGTTTAAAGTAAAGATTGCCTTTTTTAGTAAATAACTTTTACTTAATAAGAACACTTTTTTAACTTTTACCGAACAAAAAGTTAATTATTCTTTAAAAAAACTTATTTATTTAATTATAAGTAACCTTTTTAATTTGGCCATAAATGCTTTTAAAGTGAGGCAGTATTCAAATTAGCATGGATAACTCAGTTTTAAAAATTATACTTCTCAAAAATAACTTTTATTCAGCAACTAGCTTTCAACTTTTACCAAAAAATATTTAACTAGTCTAAAAACTAATTATTTACTTATAAGTAATTTTTTTAAGCTTGGCCAAAAATGTTATTATGATTAATTTTACTTGATTATTTATTTATTTTTTTCCCCTGAGTTTCTCCTAGTCAATTGTCAAGGATACGCAATAGTGTTTCATGATTTCGGTTTCTTAGTCAATTTTCATCAACCAATTATAAATAATTGAGACCTTAAAAGATAACTTTCATACATTGAATTTGGGTCAAGAAAAGGATATCATGGAATAGTCATAAATATCTTTATTATCTTTAATGGTGAAATGAAAAGAAATGAGTCCAGAAAATAATATTCTTTGTTAAGATAAATGAGGAAACACATTTTGTTTTCAATTGAAATTTCTAATATGTTGGCTTTCTTAATTTTTCGGATTAGTTAGAGGATCAAACTTTCATTTGAAATATGTTGTTGACGAAATAACACTTTAAATGATGGAGTATTGACAATGATTATCAACTTCACCTCAAGATTATCACAAAAAATTTGAATTCTAGAGTTCGTGTTTCAATGAGTTCCACATTTCGGGTTGGTGGTGGCAATCGCGTTGTCTCGGTTCATAAAAGCTCAGCTCTTGGATGGTTTGTGAAAATTATACAAACTAATTTGACCTACCAACCAAAGGAGAAAAACAATTAAGAGGAGAAGGAGAAGATATATTATAGAGCCACAAAAAAACTAGTGTAAAATTATGAACAAAATAGTTTATATAGTACGAGGAAACCTATAAAATTTTGGAAACTAACATAATAAGGAAACTAATATATATAATTATGTTAAATATATTATTAAATTATTAGTTTGGACTCGTTTTGATGGGACGAGCCTAAAGTTCATAGAAGATCACTAAATTAGTGATGTATGGGTCTCAATTTGGAAAGTTAAGTAACATTCTAGGAACATTTTGCAAAGTTCGGTGACTACTTAGGGAAGTTTCGAAGTTCAGTGACCTCTTGGGAGCTCTTTGCAAAGTTCACTAACTATTTAGAGAAGTTTTGAAATTAGGTGACATCTTGGCAACTTTTTGGAAAAGTTTGGTGACTATTTGGAGAATTAACCCAAATTGCTAAACTTTTGTTCACATAGGATCCTTTGATGACTCCATAATGCCCAGCGAAGTCTTAGCTTCACCCTTGGATGTATGATCTACTCTTTCTAGCACTTGATTTGACTAGGAAATATTGTTTGGTTTATAAGGTTAAATAAATAAAAAAAATCAACAACTACTTGTCGATAATCACATTATGAATTCGAATCCAACTAAAAGATCGTGTATTTATTAGAAAGAAAAAAAAAAAAGAAAAGCCAAATACAAAATGAAAATTGTAAAAAATAAATTGGGCAACTTCATAATGAGAAAATCCAGATTTGGTTCTGGTTTCTCGTTCTCAGATATATTCACACATAAAATAAGATTCGGTATTATTTACTTCGAAAGTTCCTAATATATTTAGAATTTCTTGTGGTATCATTCAACTAGTAAATATTAAATCTGGATTCTGGAAGCTGTACAAATTGGACAATGTTGATACAAAAAAGCTAAAATAATGAATCAAAAATTTTAATTTTTTTTCTTATTTATGGCCTTTGAATAAAACGCAAAAGAATGCATAGATTTTGCAAACGAAATAGATTGTCAATAATGGCATGCTAAAATAATGAATTTTCAGCTGCAATATAATAGTATAAAAATGATGTCACCACTCCCTCACACCTATAAATTCCCTCTTCAGGTTTTGTTTTCTACACAGCTCTCAATTTTTGTTCACTTCATTTGAGTCTTCCTAGGTTATAATATTCAAGAAAAAAAATGGGTATCTTCAAGTTTTTCTATGAAATCAAAGCTAATGCTTCTCACAAGAGGATGTTCAAGGCTGTGATGATTGATAACGCCGATGTTTTGCCGAAAGCCTCCCCATTCATCAAGAGCATAGAGACAGTTCAAGGAGACGGTGGTGTTGGAAGCATTAAGCAGACAAATTACGGTGACGGTTAGTCTACAATTCAGTATCACAAAAAAAGGATGAGAATATTATAATTTATTTGCCATACGGATAGGATATACCTATCATTAATCATGTCCTATAATATATATATATATCGTTTGTAATTACATACAAATCATTTTTAAAAAAAATACATCTTAGGGTAATACTATATAGCATTGGATGGACAAGATAACATCTTCATTGATCATGTACAATCTTGTGTAATCGAGGGTAATATTAGATTCTTTTTTACATAATTTGATGGATGAGTAATTGTGTAATCCTGCAGAATCTAAATACAAGTACATGAAGTACAGGATTGATCATCTGGACCACGAAAACTGCGCAAGCAAGTTGACTTTATTTGAGGGAGACGTACTTGGAGACAACATTGAATCTATTAGCTATGATGTGAAATTCGAGGACTCAAAAGATGGAGGATGTGTCGTCAAGTTCACCTCTGAGTATAATACAAAGGGTGATTTTGTGCTAAAAGAAGTGGATGTTAATGTAGGCAAGGAACAATCTTTTGTACTCTACAAGGCTTATGCAGATTACCTGAATGCCAATCCTCATGTTTGTGCCTAAATGTTTTCCAATTATGTCTTAACGTTGTCAAGAATTTCTGTATTTCTACATAAATGTTACTTTTGCCTTAATAAAATAATTGTTCTGCTTTTCCATTGAAGTGGTTTTATTTTTATTATTATTATTTTTTTAATCACAATATGTTGCATATTTATTAACATCGAATATAAAATATAGTATATAATTAGGAGGAGGCTCGACCTGACCTTCCAACTAAAGTTGAAAACATAGTTATACTTTTTCATCTTGGAAGGAGTACAATGTAAGATTTAAAGAAAGTAAACTGTATTCACTCTATTCATACTTTCCATCATCTTTTAATGAGTGGTCACTCTGCCTCATCGCTATATTCAAACTTGCTACTTGAAGTTTGTCCGTTTCCCATTGTCATCGTTATATTCAAACTCGCCAATTGAGAATTTAATTCCTGAATGTTCAAAATTTTCTATGCTTAGCGATATAATGAAGGGTTTTGTTAAACTAAAATTAGGCTTGGCATAGGGAATTACCAAACACACACATGGGATCGACATTTTTTAATTCACACGGGATCCACGTGCAAATTGTGAGTGTCGATCAATTATTATGTCAACCAATTCGATCACTTTTTCTTAATTCTACAGAAGAATTTCAGATACTCACATGGAGAGTGGGCCCTATGTAAATAAAATAATTCAAAAAATAATCTGTCCACCCCATACAGTGTATTTTATAAGGTGTCTGTAAAAAATAAAAAAAAAAAAAAAGAGGAAAAAATTACATGAATAATCACTCATTCTATAATGAATGTGCCTGACTTAGCTGAGGCAACCACGTGCCACATGTTTTATCTTTGAGCACTTAAATCTTCATATGAGTCGCCAACGAACTCAACCCAACCCAGATCCCAATCCGCCTAAGTCCCACCACCACCACTCATCATCTCCATCTGAAAAAGGGTTGCCCGACTCGGTTCGAAAAAAGTCCGAGTCCTATTTTTTTTTTGTCGTGCTTTTGCTCGGCCCAACTCGAGCCCGCAAAAAAAGCTCGGCCATTTTAACCGGACCGAACCTAAGCCTAAACTTTAGGCTAGCGAGCCGACTCGTTTACATCCGTACTAATAACTCAAATTTTTAATGAAGAGTTGTATTGAAATAAAATATTCCATATTACAATATTTTTTATATTTTAGTCTTTTCGTATGTCAACCTCATTCATACTCCAAATTCTCCGATTTTTTCAAAGTTTACAACAGAGAAAGATTATTTTTCTCGTAGAATCGGTTTGCAAAAACGTCAAAATAAGCAAAAGGACTTACATAATTTCAATACCTCCACTGAATTTCCTAGAATTTATCCATAATTGTTTTTTTTTTTTTTTCCATTTTCGCGACACAACATGGGGATTTCATTCCTGGCTTTTGCGATAACCAAGCGTGGTGGCTTGGTTTATCGAAGGAAGAGGCTGGTTGGGAAGGCGGTGAGAGAAGTGGAGGTGGTCGGGGACGAGGTGAGTTTGTTGTGGAAGATGAAGATTTAAATTCTATATTTTTTTGGTAGACAGTGCCACAGTGGCCAGTGGCGATGGCGAAGGTGGGGCTGGTGGGTATTGAGGGGTGTGATTGGCTCAAAACCTTTGTTAAAGGTTGAACCCTAACTTTAAGCGTCCTCCACCGCTCCTGTCTTAGAGTATCATGAGGGAGGTAAATCGCAAGTTATGCCTCAAAGGGTACAGGGTGGAAGGCTATTTGTACATTTACACTTACCCAAGAGTCAAATCCATATTTCAGGATTCAAACTCTTGACGCGACAGTCTCAAGCAAAATTGGATTTCTCCACCCTCTCCTTTTACCACTTGAAGATGTGCCCTGGGAGCAGCTCAAAACCTTTATTTGTCAATAATTCTATTGCATTAAAATAATATTATACATAAATTAAATTTTTTTTTTATTTTTAATCATACATTTCTGCATCTATCACTACTTTTTAATACACTTGAAATTAAAGGGCACAAACAAAGTCTACTCGTTTGATTCCCATTAATTTTCATTCCATTACATTTTATTTTTTTATCTCCTATTTTTAACCACACAATCTTTCATAAAATAATATTACACGTAAATTGAAAATTTTTCCCTCTATTTCAACCACTCATTTTTTCAAAAAATAATATTCCATCCATTAATTTTTCCACGGAATGAGGCCAGACGGGGCTAAATCGCTGGTGGTGGACTTGATTTGAAGGGGATTTATGGCTGTTTGTCAACAATGGTGGCAATGCATACAGTTTAAATTAGGAAATGTCCAGCACCAGGCACCCTGGAAATCCAGTCTAGCAGGGTTATTTGAATTATGATCATCTATTTTGGGTTTTGTGGGTAAAAAGAAAAAACATCGTTTTCTTCTTATTTGCTTCATTTTTATATATTTTATTTATTTATTTGTGTTTATAAAACTTTTAATGGGAAATAAATGTCTTTTTATACCACTTTAAATAAAAAATAATTTACGAAAAATGTTATTAGGGATGAATCTTGTTAATAAATGAAAGGTTGAGAGTCGATCGGTGAATAAAAAATTGAATACAGACAAAATTTCCATAACCAGAAAGGTTGGGGACCCAAGCTGAAATTTACCTTAAAAGAAATCCTAGAAAACGTTGGATTATGTCCAATTAATTTTGAATTCCATGTTTCTCCGACATGCTTAAAAATCAAGGATTGTAGGATATATCCGAAGGAATAAAATATTCAAAATTTCCAATTAATTTCATCATTCATGACTTTTAAGGTAATAAGGAAAAATATATTAAAAAATTAGAAATGACAAATTCGGAGTTGTTGTGGATGCACAGTTCACTCATGAATCAAGTTCTTAAAACACGTGAAGCTGGGAATAGTGATAAGCTGAGTTGACCCGGCTCACGAGCTTGCCTATTAAGCTGGCTGAGCTCCTTTCTTAAACAAGCTCGAGATTTTGCGCTTGTGAGTCAAGCCATTACCTAACGGTTGGGCGTGGCTCATGGCACAAATTTTTAAAGAGAAAGTGAAGATTGATTTTTTATTTTTATACTTCAAGATTTTAGATAAGATTGCTCAAATGAAAAATTAAGGTAGATAAATGCTTTGATTCTAAACTTTAATGGGAATCGTTCTTTCTACTCATAAATTCAACACGCTAATTTGACAAATAATCGTAACCTTTAACATAATTCAATCTGACGCTCAATATTTTATAGATCTCAAGTGGTTATAACAAGCTCTTTTATGATCTTAGTAAAATACATATTGAGTATTGAATTCACTTAAATTAAATGTCACGATTATATGTCAAATAAATGTGTCAAATTTTTTAGTAGGAGAAACGCCCCAAACTTTGTTAATATGAAATATTAGTTTAGAAAATTCAGTAATTAAAGAATATATTATTGCAAGTGGGCCTCAAAAGCCGACTCATGGCAGGCAAGGCAACCAAGCCCGTAAGCCGACTCACAAAACTCATAAGCTTTCGATGGTGAGCCCATCATAGCTTGCGACGCTAAAAAATGAAACTCGACTCGACTAGCGGCTCGTCAAAATTCAATTCAACAACTTGTGAGCATTTTCTCATAAGTTGAACCAAGAAGGTGGTTGCTGGTCTTAATTGCTACCCCAAATAGTGGTGGCAATGAACGGATCCACCACTAGCTCGGCTTGTGGCTCGTTTGAGACGAGACAAGATAAGTCAAGCCATGGGTTCATTTATTAAGGGCCAAGCTCTTAGTTCGTCGGGTCGAGCTGAACTTAGCCGTTGAGCACCTTAATTTTATTTATTTCTTTTTTATATGTAACTAAAATGTGAAAAACCCTCTTTCTTTTCTCCGAACTTGGGACTGACTACTTATTTTTTAAGCAAGTAGAGTAAAAATTATATATGAGCAAGTTGTTACGTGTATAATTTTTTTTTAAATTTAAATTATTATTGCAAAAATAACAAAGTTTGATTATATGATGAAATTAAATATCATTTACCTGATTACACGCAATTTTCCTTATACTTATGTTGTATTTGAAAATGTGCGTTGTTTCAATCCTTTAGACACATCATTGCTTCCAAAATATTTATTTTTTCAGTAGGTTTTTGGCCTCAGACAAAGTTCTATTACCTGCATTGTGGACTTCGAAACTATAGTCCTAAACAAAGTGTTAGTAAATCTTTTGCAATGGCAGAACTAATAGAGTATTATCATTCATTTTTTGGTCAAAAATCAAGTAAATCAAAACAAATGGCATCAACGGGTTCTACGCTCATAAGCATTTCATGATTAACATATCTAACTAATTCAGCAAGCATTCCAATATGACTTGCGTCCTATGTTGGATTATACGTAGGAGACATACTAGAAAAAGAATCTTATACTTCATATCTTTCATCCCTAATACCTTCAAATAAATTCAATAGTTCTACATCATCTTCTTCAAGATTAGCAGAAGTGGTGGGCAGAAGGTGTACAACTAATATTTGCACCCCATCGGGATGCATACAATTCGTGCATAAAAGTTAAAGTGTTTTCTAAATTCGAATAAGTAATACGTTAGTCAAAATTTAAACAAGTGATTTTTAGAATAACATATTTATTGCCTTTTAAATTGTACTTGGAATCCATTATGCATTCTATAGAAAATAAAATAGGTAAGTGTTTCCAATATTTTTGAAAGGGTAATTGTCACAAAACGTCCATACCTTTCGAAGTTATTGTGAAAAACGTCCACACCTTTCATTTTTTAACATTTTTGCCCTTATTTCAACCTTTCGTTGCGTTGAAAATCCTTTTCACTGTTTTAAAATATAAAATGACCATTATACCCTCTTATTTAAAACAAAAAATAAAAAAGAAATGATAAATAAAATACAAATTGCAATCATACTCACAAATGTTTTGAAAGAATGTAAATGAGTCCAATAAATTATTAAAATATCAAAAAATTAAAAAAAAATTATCTTTCTTTTCTCCTCCTCTAGTCCTCCTCCTCCCTCCTCCTCCTCTTCCACCACCAAAACTCCGTCCCCGGCCACCTTGGACACCAGATCAATATACCACCTTAAAGCCCTCAATAACCCTACTGAGATCAATTAATAAAAG